CCATAGTTTGTTGTGATCCACACAGTCAAAGGCTTTAGCATAGTCTGGTACTCTCTTGTTTTCTTCATAATCCAGCGAATGTTGGCAATTTGATCTCTAGTTCCTCTACCTCTTCGAAACCCAGCTTGTACTTCTGGCAGTTCTCTATCCACGTACTGTTGAAGCCTAGCTTGTAGGATCTTGAGCATGACCTTGCTAGCATGTGATATGAGTGCAATTGTGCGATAGTTTGAACATTCCTTGGCATTGCCCTTCTTTGGGATTGGAATGTATACTGACCTTTTCCAATCCTGTGGCCACTGTTGCATTTTCCAAATTTGCTGGCAAATTGAGTGCAGCACTAAATTCCTACCAATAGGCGACCAGCAAAAGCCTACTGTAAGAACAAGGCGGGAGGGTGGGCGAGCACAAGTCTGCAACTGCTTTGGGTGGGATTGGAGCCAAGCTGTTTAACCGAGCCAGCTCCGCCCCCGCCCACGTCATGACGCACAGTGTCATGCATCTGTTGCTGCCCCAGCCTCCTCCGGGGCGGCAAAACAGCCCCCGGACCTCCAGCAGCTTTGCTGGGAGGCAGGGAGCTCCAGTGTGGCTGAACCAAGGCCAATACGTGCAGGGGAATGTGTTTTCTCTGGCTGCGGTTTGGAAAGGTAGAAGACCACCATTTAAAACCTTTTAGACTTTATGTTCACATGCAAAGCACTTGTCTATTGAGCACAGTACAAGTTGTGATGAAATCTCAAGAGTTGGAAACAAAACCTTGGTAGAAATCCATGCCCAAAGGCCTTTCTTCTGAAGGGCGGTTTCTAGAATTGTGCTAGTGTGGATATTTAGGTCAAAGATTATGGGAGATAAGGTAATGATAGAAACTCTGCCTAGTGATTTGATTTAGATGCACCATAGAACTCTCCTTATAACAAGAATAAGCATAATTTTTCCATGCAAAAGAGCACAGCACAGCTGCTCCATGTATAAATTTCACAGTGAAGTGAAATAAATTTAGGTCACAGCAGGGGTCATTTCGTAGAGAAAGAGGTGCTGGAGCTCATTAGCATAACTCATCAGCATAACATAAGAGAGCCAGTTTGGTACAGTGGTTAAGTGCACGGACTCTAATCTGGGAGAACCGGGTTTTGATTCCCCACTCCTCCACTTGCACCTGCTGGATGACCTTGGGCAAGCCATAGTTCCGTCAGAGCTGTTCTTGAAAAAGAGCAGTTTCTGTCAAGAGCTCTCTCAGCCCCACCTACCTCACAGGGTGTCTGTTGTGGGGAGGGGAAGGGAAAGGAGTTTCTAAGCTGCTCTGAGACACCTTCGGGTAGTGAAGGGCGGGGTATAAATCCAATCTCCTCCTCTCCTCCTCTAACTTATTTGCATTTGCCACACCACCTGGCATCACTGGCAGTGTGTCAGAAGGCAACCCCCACTCCTCAGGCTCCACTGGACTGTTTTGGATTGCTAGCTATTGGGGGGGGGGAGGAACGTGCAGATCTGTCCTCGCAGAGGAGGGAGAGGTTGTACCTGAGTAAAACTTGGTCTTAATGGTGCCACTGGTCTGTTTTGGACCAGGGGGTCGGGGGGCTCTGCAACTTACCTGGCTGCTTCTTGCTCTGACTAAGGGCTGCTGGGAGCAGGGGGTGGGGCTTGTTGCATGTGCCCGCCCCCTGGGTTCTTTATTGCCGGAGCTCCACTCCTGTGCGCTTCTGCAGGAATTGACCCCTGAAGCAAAGGGAAATCGGCCAAGGAGGAAATGCCAGCTCTTGCTTCTCAGGCTGAAAGGAGCAGGGTCATGAGAGAGGTGGAGGAAAAGGTTAAAAGAAAACCCCTCCCCTCTCAGTCTGAGGCCTGTGGAAAAGTACGCAGTGTTGGTAAAGTAATTAACATAGCAACAGTGCACAACCTGATTAAAGAGTAGAGAAAGGTTTATTTAGGAATTAACGTACTTGACAGGAAAGAGGAGAGACAGAGATAGGTTCCTAAATACATGTCTAGCTGAGAGAGAGAGTAAGACCGAGTGTGGCACTTCCGAGAAGAAGGGGGAAATTGCCCTGAGAGTAGCACTCTGGAGACAAACAAGGAATGACACTTAAAAGGAGAGAATGTGCAGACCTCACAATGTATATATGGGACTAACAATGCTGGGGGTAAGGGAGGACAACATATATCATTTAAATTGCACAAATTTTTGCAGTTGTCGAAATATGGTCAGCTGTAAGGTTGCAGTTGAAGAAATATGGTCAGCTTTAAGGTCCAGTCGTGTTCTGGCAGCACTCTTTCGGCGTCGCTTGATGTTGTCAGCATTGTCTCAGTCGCAGCGCACCACTGCCACCGTCTGGCTGAATGGCTTATTGCAGCCTTTTTCTTCAACACCGCGTAGATCTTCCTTGGCTTACGAAGCTTACGCGCAGACCCTCCGATTGGCTAACACAACCCCCACCTGCAGCCTCCTCCTCCTCAGTCTGGACCTCCTTCTGCTTTGCTGGCCGGGGGCCGGGGGGCATACCCCCCCCGCGCGAGCATTGTAGGTCCTGCTTCTTGTCCTATCTAATTGTCTTCTTGCTGCTCCCTTCTCTTCTTTGTATATCAGTTATTGCCTTTTCTAACATGCAGTGCTTGTTGCTGGCAAGAATCCGCAAGATTTGGGGAGGGCCTCTACCAACAGCTCATGGGGGGCGTTCTCTTGGAGAAATGACTCAGGGCAGGAGGTTTAAAGCCCTTTTGGTCCAGCGCCAAAAACCCCCATTCAAATGTTCACTCCCCCATGACGTGACTACTTTTAAAGAAAATTAAAAGCATCTGAGTATCCGTTCATGTATCTAAACCCTAAATCATCTTAATTTCAAAACAGTATGCCACTAAAGTTCTGAACAGCCCTGTCACAGAAAATACTCTCCAGTTTTACTTTCTCTGGTTACTGCTTGAGACCTGAATGATATTGGAAATACCAAGTGACAGTGATGACTCATTCCTAAAAGTAACTTTTTTTAAAAAATGCACTGCTTTGTGGTTC